TATAGCCAGTCATCACAGATCCAGATCAGCCCGACCGAGCAGGACATGCATATCCCTTTGTCTTTCCAGGAGAACTTGCGTAAGACCAGCTCATCTAAAGAGCAATTCTCTGAATTCAAACTCAACCCCCTTCCAAGAGCTTTTGCATCTATTTGGGTATTAACTTTGCCATCTTGTGGCACATAAAAAAAATTTTTTTAAGCTGCTTTGTTAAAGACATTTCTGAAATAATATAAATCCCAAAAGAAGACAATTACCCACAGACCCCCCTCCTTGAATCGAATCAATATTTTCATTTGTCTGTGTCCCTTTCTGAGTCTTCTCCGTGTGCACATTCAATCTTAACACATTTAGAATACTATCTTAAATAGGATTTAACATCCTACATTTTTTGTTCACATTGTGCCATGCATATTTTTGAAAGATTTTTTTTATCCCAATATAAGGATATTTCTGATGTAACTTTGCTTTTCTAAACAAGTTTTTTAAAAAAAATCAAATTTGCGTCATTTTAAGGGTGATAAAAATGGTTTCATACATTGCTGGGTGTCTCTCTTTTGCTTTTATCTAATATTCCAACCACTTTAAGGATTTTTAAACCTTCTATTAAGGATCTTTTATCTTCAACATTCTAAGTCTCTAGCAAGAAAAACATATCAAACTTGCAGCATGTTATAGTAGATTTGTCATTTTTTTTTTAAAGGTAGCTGATTCAAAAAGAATTCTGGGTCACAAAATACAAAATGACAATCCACTCGGGCGACACTGTCCTCCTTCGCTGTTCCTCAAACACGCTGAGGATGCTTGCGCCCCGGGCATTCACACTCACTCTTCCTGCTGTCTGGAACACTCTGCCCCCGGATAGCCACACGCCTCGCTCCCTTGCTTGCCCTGGTCTCTGCTCAAGTGTCATCCTTTTCAGAGAGGCCTTCCTTGATGATGCTATCAAAAATAGCACCTCTCTGCCCCGATCCACCCATCTCTACCCGCTTTATTTCTTGTTGCTATTATGGTTTATCTATCTGTCTGCCCCATGAGAATGTAAATTCCAAGGGAACACGGACTTTATTTCTTGTGTTCACTGATGCACCCCTCGTGGTAATGCAGCTGGGGTTTCTGACATCTGTTTCAACAAATAAGCATTTGTTGCAATAACCAATAAGCATTAGTGCCCTCCGAATCCTGGCAGTAATGCTCTGACTTTTGGGATGCTGCTCATTCCAGCTTCCTTGGAAGCACCACTCAGGGGGCCAGGCCATGCCGTGCTAGAAGATGAGCGTGAGCTGGAGAGCCACCTTCACAGGCCTTCCTTGGAAAGGGGTGTCACCTTCCTGAGCACCTTAGCTACGCTGACAATGATTTGCCTCATATACATGCAGCGCTCTCTAAATTTAAATAATCGCTCCCATGCATACAATCTTACCTAATCCTTGCAATATCCCTGTAGAATAAGTGCAGTGACTCTTCCATAGTAGGAAACACACCCAAAGGGCCATTAGGAAACCTGGGTTCTTAATAGGAGCCATTTCATATTTCCGGGAGTCCGTGTCCTTTGGGTAGAACTGTGGACAGTAACACTCACTAGTAGTGTTCTTGTGAAGGTTAGATGTGATCAGGAGAGTAAAAATATTTTATAAACTAAAAATAGGAATGCAAAGTTAAGGCCCAGAAAGTATAGCAAAGGCTTCCAGTTTGGGGGTTCTAGAGTCTTGCAGAACAAATCTCAGCTCCACTACTTAGCACTGTGTCACATTGCATGAGTGACTTCTCTGAATGTTACCATTCATATCTGTAAATTGGGGCTAGTCCTAGTCCCTATCCATCAGAGGTGTTGGGAAGATAAAGTGAGATAGTACAGCCAGGATGCTGAGGCTGGTACCCAGCACATACTGAGTGCTCACTACTGTCAGCTACTGCTTTGAGGTTCTTGATTGCATCATTATCATTGTTACGGCCATTTGGGTGATGACCCACCAGGCTGTACTAACAAGAGCTTGGGCTCTGAGTTCAACGGGCCAGTGACCTGGTGCTGTGTCGAGAGAGAACTACTGTGCAACCCTGATCCTAAATCCTTTCACCTGCAAAGTGGAACAACATAATCCCTTCCATTGCAAGAGTCTTATGAGGCTGGGATGAAACAATGTTTTTGAAGACCCATGCATAGCAGATGCTCAGATGGAAAGTCAGTTCTGACTCTGGACATGAGAAAGCTAAGGGACAGAGACACAGTGTGACTTCACTGAGCAGGTGAGAGATAAGCAAGGCTAGGTTAGAACTCAGGCCCCTGGTGGAGCCTGGTGCCAGGCTGGCAGTGGGGGATGCTGCCCCAGGGGTGTCAGGTGACGTGGCCGTCGGGTGATCCACACACAAAAGACCTCATGGTGTAGCGGTTAAGGGCAAACCCGCTTAGAGCCAGGCGCTTGGGTTCAAATCCTGGCCCCGAAATGTACCAGCTGTGTAGGCTCAGTCTTCTTGTCTATGAAGTCAGGATGACGACAGGACCCTTCTAAGCTGTCATGCGGCTTAAAAGTGTTGGTTCTGTGCCTCACATAGAGTAGGCATTATTATAAGCCTTTGAAAATAAATTTAATTTATGCAAAATTAAAATATATGTGCTCAGCCAAAAAAAAGGTGAGAAAAAATAATTTAAATTGGGGCATTTCACTCAAGGAGCATATGCACAGAGTGCAGGTGAGGCAGAGAGGGTGTCTGCTCTACCCTCAGCCAGCACCACGTAGCACCCAAGGGTCTCTGGCTTGCAGCAAGCGTAACTTCTCAAGCACTCCCCCACCCCCAGATAATACAGCCCCTAGGGACAGGATAACTCTTTCATCTGATCCTCAACCAATGAGAAAACAACCTGTTCCATCCCTGGCCTTGCTGGGTTGGGAGATTCTGCATCGGTCTCCAGCGTGGGGCCTTCACCCCCATGCAAGACATGAATCCAGTGAGCACTCGAGTTCTAGGCTCTCATGGTTTTTAATCTCTCCTTCCTGGCAAGTGACAGCTCCTGCAGAGGACTCCGAGCTCTGCCCAATTTCCAGGTAAACCCGCAGCCCCTACTCTTTAATTCCAGAAAGCATACTGAAATACAGGGAAGTGATGTGGCTCAACATTAAAAGAATAACCTCAAATCCACTCTACTTCGTTTATAAAACAGTTAACTACAAAGATACTATATTTTAATGAACATCAGTCACACATGATTAATTTGTCTCAGTCTCACCATATCCAACTGAAATTGACAACTGTGCTCCAAGTTAACTCAGCCTCTTTCTTGGGGAAAAAAAAATCTTCTTCTTAGACTATTTACCAGACTGAGACTGTCTGTCACCTGGTGGGGTCAATGAGTCAATTTGGGGACCAACAATGGGAAAGGGAGAAGGCAGGAGAGTGGGGGAGCCTAGAGGTTTCAATCCTAGCCCTGTCTCTGCCACCCCTCGAAAACCTTAGACATTAACTCCCCAAGGGAAGACTAGAGATTTGGCCTAGTGACGGGCACTCCCTTCCTGGCCTTTGCCAATCTCAACTCGATGTTCACTTAATAATTTCCTTTTCATTGATTCTTTTCTTCTACTCAAAAAATTTATTTTAAAAGCAAACTTCAGTCACCCTTGGAGCACAATAGTGAACCAATTTATTACCTTGAAAGCTGTCACATACAGCAGAAGAATCAAACATTTACCCTGCTTTTCCTACAGGAGCTGTACCATAAGGGATCCAAGCAATAGATGAGGGAAAGCTCCTTTTTATCCAAGCATTCCAACCAGTGTATGAAAAAGAAATGATAGAATTAGGATCTCACAATGGTTCAATCCCTAATGAATTAACGTATCTAGGCAGCAATCATAAGTTGCTGCCAACATCACTGAGAGAGGCAACTGGACAGTCTGTGCCTTCAGATGAAAGAACACACCACCATCTATCGTCTTGCCAAAGGGATCAGAGCAGAGCCGCACCAAGCCTCTAGCCCCAGCTGCTAATTTGCAGGAAACAGACAGGACAGAGGAACATGTTGAGGTGCCCCAAGACTGTACAGATGGCAAAACCCAGACTATGAAAATGCTACAGGTCAAAAACCCCAGGATATCTTCAGCAGATAAAAGAACAGATAAAAGAAAAGGATAAAAGAGAGTGGGAACTCACTAGATTAAAGAACTTATAGGCACATCAAATTAGATGCAAAATACAATAGCATCATTTCTCACACATGGGCTGGGCTCTAAAATCAGCATGTAGGTTGAGAACTGGATAGAGTCAAAATTAATCTTGAAAAATCCCTTAAAGCATCTTTAAGTCACTAGGTCATTGACCATGAGAAACCCCAAAGGCAAGAATTAACGTTGTATCTCTGCATTTGGGCTCTGGCCTCTCCTTCCTTGGGTATGGGGGCCTAGGTCTAATGTGAACAGGGAAAAGGTGAGGAGGTTACTTACAGGGGTGTCTCTTGCTCTCGCAGATAGAGCTGAAATCAGAGTCAGCAGCAGACGGAGGACAAATGTTCCCTTCTCATCTTGGCAGTCATGGCTCTGAGCTCACTAGCCCTTGTCTAGGACACTGTGCCCCCGCCCGGGAGTCCTCTGAGGGCTATGTTCTCAGGCAACCCACCCTCCAAGGAGACCCATGCAAAGGCCTCAGGCACCTGCAGAGATGTGCACATGCATTTCCCCAAAGGGCTGGAGGGCTGAGTAAAACCATCTAGAGGCACAGTGTGTGGACCTTCCCACTGAGTTCCTGTCCCCGTGTCACCCCTCGCCAACAGAGAGAGGCCCTGCTCTGTTAGTTATAAAACCAATTGCCTGAGTTCCTTTATCTGAGTTGAGACAGCATCTGCCCCAGGGGACAGCACTTCTCAGTGGCAACCTCAGAACTCCCAGCCAACTTCCCTGGGCCCCGTATCTTTCTGTTTCTAGAATGGGAAGAGCCCAGGTATCTCCCTGGGGTGGGTGCTGCTGGGACAGCTTTGGAGGTGGAAGACCCGGGGTCCCCAGATGAGTTACCATGGTCTGGAAGCAGGAGTGGAGCTGGGTGAGGAAGGGCGGCTTCCCGGGCAGGGCCAGCACCCGCTTCTCCACCATGGTGCACTCCACGTCGTCGTCTTGGATCACAACGTCCTTCTTCAGGATCTTCACCGCGTAGAGCTCATCGGTGCCTTTTCGCTCCGAGAGCATAACCTGAGGAAGAGAGGGCAGTGGTGTTCGTTCAGATCCACTCCCAGCTTTGCTCAGATGTCCTCTGTTGACTCTGAAACAACAAGGGACGCTTCCCACGGACCTCACACTTTGAACGGCTGAACCCAATCAGGGAGGACAGTTCCAGGAGAGACGGCCGTGTACTGATCCCTCTGGGATAGGTATCAGTGCCCAGCCAAGGTGGCTCGAAGGCAAGCCTCATGGGGGCAAGTAGCTTTTGGTCACTGGCCTAACCCAAGAGGCTGCAATCGTGCCTGGCACATGGTACATGCTTAATAAATATTTGTTGAATGAGAGAGTGAGTGAATGCTGGATAAAACCGGATTTGGGGGCACTTGTTCCTTTATTCATTCAATTATTTAATGTTCATTAAAGCCCGCTAGACACTGGGGATACGGCAATAAACAAGCAGGCACGTTCTCTGACCTTGAACTCCAGAGAGGAAAAAGGACTTCGGAAATTAATTTCAGGGATGATTAATGTAATATTTTAATAGCCTCCCCTGCTGTCTTGGGGCTTCCTTCCATGAGCTGTGGTCACAACCGTGGCCAGTTAACCTGCGTGGCTCATGGACACATCATTGTTTTCACTGGTTGTGACTATGCCACAGGGAACAATGACCGGCAGGTACTATTTTCTCAAGAAGCTTCTTAGGAAGCGCAGGGCAGAGCCACATTATAAAGAGACCTAAGTGGTCTGGGAAGGCTTCCTGGAGGAGGAAACAATCAGATCGAAGTGTTTACTGCATGCACTGTGTCAGATATTTTGCAGGCAACATTATTGATCACCACTATATTTCTGAGCATTTATGAATGGACCAAACAAGTATCGGTTTTCAATTATTATTTCTCATTTATTTTTCATAATGGTAACTAGGAAGTTCGTTCCCTTACAAATCTCATTTTGCAGGACACCAAGGCTCAGGGGGTAAGTAACTTGTCATGTTACAAATTTAGTTAGGGTCATGATTTGAACTCAGGTCTTTGACTACAATCCCTGCCTTTAAATGCTCCACTTGAGCTCCAGAAGAACCCTCGAGGAGCTTGGGCGGTGGAGGGAATAAAATGCTCCTGCCTGGCTCAGCCGGAGGACTAGAGGATGTAGCAGAGACCTGAGGCTGGAGGGCGTGACACACAGGGCAAGTTGAGCAGCAGGAGGACAGTTCAGCACACTCCACTCAGCTCTCACCCTAACAGCGAAAGGTCTGCCTGGGCTCATGCACAGAAGCTTCCAGATCATGCATCCATGCGCTGAAGCTTCTGGGCTGAGCTCACCAGCTCACAGAGCCCCCGTTTCTTGTTCCTACCATCTTCTCTCTCATCACAGCCAGGGTGGCCCCAGGCGAAGCAGACCCAGGGATTTAGGACATCTTAGGAAGAGGGTCCCCAACACCCACTTCCACAGCAAGAGGACTTTCCTCAACCTCTTCCTTCCCCCGGCATCACAGGAAAAAACAAGAGCTGCCAATCTGGGTGGGTCCCACCTGCCGGGCATTTCCTCAATCCTCAAAACAGACCCACCGACTTACCTGGGAAGGTAGGGCTCCAAGTGTGGGGATGGGTGTCCCCAGGTTTATTTCCCATCTCCCTCTGTGCTCTCCCTGGTACCCTGGGGCTGTATTTCCCTTCCGCAGCCCTCACCAGGGCAGAAACAATGACCTAAGGAAGCCACTGTCCTAAGATATAGAGGCAGATGGAGATGGGGTTTTCTGCTCTCAGATTCCATAGAGACCTAGGCTGGGCAAGAGCAGGGAGGATGTGGGGAGGTGACTTGGCCTGTATAGAATGAGTAGAGGTACAGAGGTGGGAGGAAGAAGAGCCTTCAGCTAAGAGGACCCCAGAGCCCCACAGGAAGGGCTCAGTGCTGAGCTGTCCTCAAGGGTGGACCCATTGCCTCTGGTCAAGGCACCATCCAACAATCCTGAATACCTGCAACTCCTCCCCTCCCCCACTAAGAGCAGAGGGGAGGAGCCCCAGACACCTGGAACGCGGATGCTATTATGATGGAACATCTTAGCCTGCTGCATGGAAGAGAGACAGGGCAGAATGGCTGGAAATTTCCCCCTGCGCCAGGGACAAGGGTGGATATCCTAGTCTGTTTCAATGATCTGCATTTTACAGGTAAACAAACTGAAGCTCAGGGAGATTAACCTGTACGAGCTACCAATTGTTCTAAAAATGCAGATCTGATCACGCCACTTCAATGCTGTAATGCTTCAATGCTAAAAGTCCTTCAGTGGCTCCTGGAAGCCAAAAAATTCTGTGACCACGTCCTGTTCTTTCTTTCCCTTTGAACACCCTGTACCTACTGCCTGCAACGTCCTTCCACACTCTTTCAATGCCTGGAAAACTTGAGATTCGGCTCAGATGTTACCTCTTTCTCTAACCTAGATGATCCATTTAGACCCGAATCAGCCACGCCCTCCTCTGGGCACCAGGACTGCTTGGTATCTATGTATGCAGGCTTTTCCAAACTTCAATCATTCATGTGCCTTTTTCACATTTTTTCCCTGCCACCTAAACTGTTATTTGCTTAGCATTTTAAAAATGTAGTCATATTTTTACTTAACTAAATTTGAAAAGGAAACTTTATATCACTGCTATTAATGGCAAGCCAGTATCACCCATCATAAATGGAAGAGAAGCATAAAAATAAATAAAAGCAAACCAGTGCTAGTAAATTCTAGCTAGACACTGATGGCTGCTGAAGGTAAGGATGGCTGCTAAGCCAAGCCCTGCATTTCCTTCCTATTAAAGGAAAAAAATGATATTAGAAAATGTTAGAGAGCACATTGCCATCAAATGAGATTTTCTTGTTCAACCAATTAGAAGGACTAAAAGAAAACATAAAGAGAGGATAACCTTATCACGTGATTTAATTTTGTATAATGTCATGACCATGTACTATCTAAAAAAATCTCAAGTACTAACTGAAATCATCTTGCAAATCATCAATGCCATGTCCTCCACACCTTAGGAAAAACTGGTGCATTTGCACAGTTTATTAAATCAATGAATAGGGATGTGTGAAGATTCTCTTGCTCTGTCCTAAGTAACATGCCCTGTACTGATTGGAGGAAAATAGAACTGACTGACATGCATAAAACACCACTAATAATTTAGAAGAAGTAGAACTGAATTAAATTCTAGGAGTCAGCTAACTTTTTCTGTAAAGGGCCAAACTAAATATTATAGGCTTCATGGGACTATATCAACTACTAAACAGCGCTATTGTATTGAAAAAGCAGCCATAAACAATACACAGGCGCATGAGTGTGTCTGGGTTCCAGCAAAACCAAGCAGTGGTTCACAGGACAGGTGCCTATGGGGGCAGGCGGAAGCAGTGGGCTAGGCTCCCATAGTTTCCTGACCCCTGATTGAGAATGTGTATGTTCAAGAATGATCAGGGAAAATAAGAATGACCACATGATCAAAAGTGACCGTAGTTTACTTTGGAAATGAACTCTAGCATGCCTTTCCTTTCTTCCAACTCTTTGTTATTAGAAAAAACCTTCTGATTGGGCAGTGGACACACCTGGCCACAGCTGATTGGATCAGTGGTAGATACCTGACCTAAGTTGAGCCAATCAGAGTCTCTCTCCAGAGAACTTGGAATTAGGATACTCCAAGGAGTCAGTCAGGGGCCCTGAATAGAGAACACCCACAGATCCTTCTAGAGTGGTTCTTTTGTACTATGTGCAGGCAGAGAAGGATGAAACGGATGCGTGGGGGGAAAAGAAGGTCAGAGAACAAGTCTTGCTTTCTCATTCCTGCTTCCAATCTCTCAGGAGGCTTGTTAGAAACCGCCATCTCCCTCTAATAAAGTTATGTTTACTTATGTTAGTTTGCATGGATTTAAGTATCTTAGAGATCCTGTAAGACAAAACTACTGCGCAGGTAGCTCAAATTCTTAATAAAAATGACAATTTCAGGAAGGGAAATAGTATCAGGTCAGTATGTGACCTAAAAGAAGGCAAATTCCATTTTTTTAGAAAGGACCATCCCTCTTGCCTATATCAGAATCACTTGGGGGTCCTTTTTTGTAATACAGATTCCAAGCACTGGTCTCTTTCAAGAGCTCTGGGCTGTGGCCTGGGACTCTGCATTTTACTAAACCCATTAGGCAATGTCCATAGGTTAAACATAGAATCCTTTAATTCTGATTTTCCTAACTCCTTCCCAGCAGTCACCAACAGGGTGAGGATGGAACTTTCCTTTTCTCCTTGAATATTCTAATCGAGCTTTCCTTTTCGATAGGGATCTCTCCGCCCTCTCTCGGAATTACAGTTTCAGAGTTTTCCCCATAGCATGAAGGAACTGACACTCCGTGGTGGTTTGAAAACATGTCTACAAATATTTGACACCCATGCAATCAAGAGGCAGAGTCTATGCCCTTTCCTGTGAACCTGGGCATGTCTTTGTGTTTGCCCTAACGAACAGAATGTGGTTGAAGTGCCCGAGTGACTTCTGGGGCTGTAGCTTAATGTCAGTTTCTTTTAGAACATGTGTCTTTGAAACTCCGAGGCCACCATACTAGACCACAGAATGAGACCACGTGGAAAGGCCCTAGGACCACATGAAGAGCGTGGTGCCCAGCCAGAGGAGGAGAAACCCCGATGTGGGAGGTAGAGCTTAGCAAAGATGGATAACTTGTCCACATTCACTTTACTAGGAAGTGATGCCGTCTAGTCACCTGTGTCTCCTAAATCCATGCCCTTAACCACACCCCATTGCCAAGCCCTAAGTACCAAGAGTTCAGTGGTGAGCAAATTATTGCCGGAGTGTTTCAAATTCAGCTCTAGATTCTGGTCCTGTTCCTCCTTTTTCTATCTTTCCCACCTGCTGAGGCTTGGAGCTTTGCAGGCTAACTCATGGCCACAGATAGAAAAATCATTTCCTTTTTCTATTTCTTATACAACCGCTAAATGGACCATTCGTTTGCTTGGCAAGATGAGCTTGGTCTGCCTTAGTGCTCTGGTCACA